CCCCAAAACCCCAAAACCCCAAAACCCCAAAACCCCTAAAAAATTAGACAAATTTGAAAACAATTTAATTTATATAAATTACTGAAGGTAAAATATCCATGAGTAAGGTAGAACACAAAAGAGAAGATAAAGCCAACCAGAAGATCAAAGAGGCGCTTCAAAAAGCATCTCATATGTTCATGGGCGATATCGGTAAAAGAGTCGAAGAGGACGAGCTGATTCTTAAGAAAAAGATTGAATTAAAGACTAAGAATATGTTTAACACCATTGATAATGAGTAAGATTTTTTTTATTTTCATAAAAATTGTCTGTGAAATAGACTTTTTGCATATGAACATCACTCTAATCTCTATCTAGAATCCCTGATTATTTTATTGATGAAAGAAAAAGAAGGAAATTACTCGAAGACCTTAAAATCAAATACAGAAAGAGAGTGAGACTTCCTGAAGATATTCAAGAGGAAGAAGAGCAAAAGGTAAAAAATTTGTACTTATATTTTCAGGAAAAGGAGAAGCAAGACAAGCTTAAAGACCAGAAAGTTGAAGAAGATGATGATGATAGAAAGGCTACATCTGAAGTCCTTGCTAAGATTGAGGAAGAAAAGAAGGACACCGCTCTTAAGAAAATGATTCCTGCTAAATTCAGAAAGAAAGTTCAAGCTATTGAGTACAAACAAGAGAGTACTGACGGGAAATTAGTGCCTTATAAACCTAAAGAGATGGCTTTAGATCTTCCTAGCAATGCAAGTGCGCTTAATCTTGCAAATGCATTGAATTCAAACAGAAATGCCATTGTCTTGAGGAAACAAAGGGTTGTTCAACCTGAATGGCATGCTCCTTGGAAATTGATGAGAGTCATTAGTGGACACCAAGGATGGGTTAGAGCAATAGCTGTTGATGTTACAAATAAATGGTTTGTCACAGGATCAAGAGATAGAACTATCAAGTTCTGGGACCTTGTTGAAGGAAACTTGTTGCTCACATTGACCGGTCATATCAGTACTGTCAGAGGTCTCTGAGTTAGTGAAACACATCCATATTTATTTTCTTGTGGTGAAGACAAGCAAGTAATGTGATGGGATCTTGAACAGAATAAAGTAGTGAGGAAATATCATGGACATCTTAGTGGTGTCTACAGTATTGCTCTGCATCCAAGCCTTGACTTATTAATGACAGGCAGTAGAGATTCTACATGAAGAGTATGGGATATGAGGACTAAGGCTGAAGTCCATTGTTTATCTGGACATGGAGATATCGTATCCTCAATTATTGGCCAAGACTATGAACCTCAGGTAATCACTGGATCTCATGATAAAACTATAAAATTGTGGGACATTGGAACTGGAAGAAAAATAAAAACATTGACACATCATAAAAAGAGCATCAGAGCAATGGCATGTCATCATGAAGAAAATACTTTTGCAAGTGGAGCTGGAGATAAACTTAGACAATGGGCTCTTCCAGAAGGAGAGCAGATGAGAAAATTAGAAGGTCACAATTCAATTATTAACTCTCTTTCTCTCAATAAAGATAATGTTCTTGTCAGTGGAGGTGATAATGGAACAATGTACTTCTGGGACTGGAAGAGTGGATACAATTTCCAAAGTTTAACTAGTCAAGTGCAGCCAGGTTCCCTTAGCTCAGAAGCTGGAATATTTGCCTCAACATTTGATAGAAGTGGATTGAGACTTCTTACTGGAGAATGTGATAAAACAATCAAGATTTGGAAGCAAGATGATGAGGCTACTCCTGAAACTCACCCAGTCTCTGTTGTATAATTTCAACATAATATTTCATAAAAGGGGTTTTGGGGTTTTGGGGTTTTGGGGTTTTGGGG